TAGTAGTGGATGTTGGAAGGGGTGATAGTAGTGGATGTTGGAGGGGGTGATAGTAGTGGATGTAGGAGGGGGTAATAATAGTGGATGTAGGAGGGGGTGATAGTAGTGGATGTTGGAAGGGGTGATAGTAGTGGATGTAGGAGGGGGTGATAGTAGTGGATGTAGGAGGGGGTGATAGTGGTGGATGTAGGAGGGGGTGATAGTAGTGGATGCTGGAAGGGGTGATAGTAGTGGATGCTGAGGGGGGTGATAGTAGTGGATGGTGGAGGGGGGTGATAGTAGTGGATGCAATGAGGGGGTGATAGTAGTGGATGTAGGGAAGGTATAGTAGTGGATGTGGGAAGGTGATAGTAGTGGATGTGGAGGGGTGATACTAGGATGGTGGAGGGGGTGATAGTGAAAAGATGTAGGAGGGGTGATAGTGGTGGGATGCAGAAGGGGGTGATAGTAGTGGATGTTGGAGGGGGTGATAGTAGTGGATGTTGAGGGGTGATAGTGCAGTGGATGTGGGAGGGGGTATAGCAGTGGATGTGCAGGAGGGTGGATAGTAGTGGATGCAGGAGGGGGGTGATAGTGGTGGATGTAGGAGGTGATAGTGGTGGATGTAGGAGGGGGTGATAGCAGTGGATGTGGAGGGGTGGATAGCAGCAGATGAAGTGATAGTAGTGGATGTGGAGGGGTGATAGCAGTGGATGCTGGAGGGGGTGATAGTAGTGGATGTGGGAGGGGGTGATAGTAGTGGATGTAGGAGGGGGTGATAGTGGTGGATGTAGGAGGTGGTGATAGTGGTGGATGTAGGAGGGGGTGATAGTAGTGGATGTTGGAGGGGGTGATAGTAGTGGATGTGGGAGGGGGTGATATTAGTGGATGTAGGAGGGGGTGGTAGTAGTGGATGTGGGAGGGGGTGATAGTAGTGGATGTGGGAGGGGGTGCCAGTGATGCAGTGTAAGAATAGGGTGACTGAACTAATGGACAGTGGAGACTGGGTGATAGCATCTGATGGTAGAGAGAGGGGGCAGTGGGTGGGTAACAGTGGTGGAGAGGACATGACAGTGGTGATAGGTGGATGATAGTGGTGGAGAAGGGATGGTGGTGGGTGACAGTGGTGAAGAGGAGATGCAGTAGTGGCAGGTGACAGTGGTGGAGAAGGAATGGTGGTGAATGACAGTGGTGAAGAGGAGATGACAAAGGCGTGGTAGGTGACAGTGGTGGAGAGGAGACCGGTGGTGGGTGACAATGGTGGAGAGAAGATGACAGTGATGATGGGTAACAGTGGTGGTGGGTGACAGTGGTGAACAGCAGATGAGATCAGTGGTGGGTGGTGAGGGGGTGACAGTGGTGGAGAGGATATGACAGGAGTGGCAGGTGACAGTGGTGGAGAGGAGATGACAGTGGTAGCAGATGACAGTGGTGGAGAAGGGATGGTGGTGGGCGACAGTGATAGAGAGGAGATGACAGTGGTGGAGAAGGGATGGTGGTGGATGACAGTGGTGAAGAGAAGATGACAGTGGTGGAGAAGGGATGGTGGTGGGTGACAGTGGCAGAGAGAATAGATGACAGTGATGGTGGGTAACAGTGGTGGTGGGTGACAGTAGTGAACAGCAGATGAGATCAGTGGTGGGTGGTGAGGGGGTGACAGTGGTGGAGAGGATATGACAGGAGTGGCAGGTGACAGTGGTGGAGAAGGGATGGTGGTGGGTGACAGTGGTGGAGAAGGGATGGTGGTGGGTGACAGTGGTGGAGAGGAGATGACAGTGGTTGTGGGTGACAGTGGTGAAGAGGAGATGACAGTGGTGGAGAAGGGATGGTGGTGGGCGACAGAGATAGAGAGGAGATGACAGTGGTGGAGAAGGGATGGTGGTGGATGACAGTGGTGAAGAGAAGATGACAGTGGTGGAGAATGGATGGTGGTGGGTGACAGTGGTAGAGAGAAGATGACAATGGTGGCAGGTGATAGTGGTGAAGAAGGGATGGTGGTGGGTGACAGTGGTGGAGAGAAGATGACAGTGATAGTGGGTGACAGGGGTGGAAAGGAGAGCGGTGGTGGGTAACAGTGGTGGTGGGTGGCAGTGGTGGAAAGGAAATGAGAGTAGTGGTGGGTGGTGACAGAAGTGGAGGGTGCACAGAGTGTGGCAGTGTTGGTGGGGTTGGAAGAATTATGCTTCCATCTGCAAATCTAGGTGAATTGTCCTATTTCACATGTATTTTATGCAAATGTAAACAGTGTGATTTCATGAAATGTGGAAGTGAGTGCCACGTTCTCCCCCCAGGGGCCGAGAATCAAACACTCCATGACAGAGTTTAGTATCTGCCCACGTAAAATGGACAATTAACATGAAGTGCTTGGGCTTAAACCTCATCATTGCGCTATATAATCTAATCTAGCTTTCATGCCGATAATAATATTCCCATCCGTGTATTTACAGTACCACTGACACACATATTGTCCAACACGTGAACACGCTACATGCACACACACACACACACACACACAATACACTCCATGCTTGTACCGACACATACACACACTACCTGCATACCAACACACAACAGACACACACACTGCATGCACACACACACACACATTACCTCACACCAGCACACAACAGACACACACAATACACTCCATGTACCAACACACACACAGACATACACCTACACACAGATACATACAGTGCATTCATGTATATGCACAAAAACACATTAGGTATACACAGACATACACCTACACACAGATACAGACACATACAGTGCATGCACAAAAACACATTACGTATACACACAGATAACCATTTCAGCACCAGAGATCTGTACAAGGCAGTCACCTTATTATTAGTAAAGGGGTTAATGTGTCTCACAGTGCCCCCACGTATTCTATAAATTTCGTACATTTTATACACGGGTATGTTATAAAAACACAGCAGTGCTCATTAACGTGTGCATTGATCCACTGTATGCTGCGTGTGTGCATTGAGTCACACAGCTCCCCAGGCCCAAGCGTGCGTGTATGAATGCGTTTATACAGGGATTGTCATTGTCCCACTTACCGTCAGTCCACCATCCATGCAGAAGCTGTTTGTCTTGGCCATCTCCGTCCTGACTCCCCCGGCACCAGGTCCCCTGAAATTCTCCCCACTGCACGCTGCTCCCATCGATTCTGCTCTCCACCTGCATCGTCGCCCTCCTAACTCTCTCTGCCCCACCGTCGCGATCTACATCCATCAGATATTCCGCAGCAGATGCTGGAGAGTGACTAGGAAATTTATACAGGTTTTCGAAAAGGGGGGGGGGGGGTTCGTTTATGTCCCCAAGAAAGGACCTCATTCGCCCCGGCTTGTCTGCAAAAATATCAATAGTGAGCAAAGATCATGCTGCATTCAGCTTGCTTCCCCCCTCTCCGTTCTCTGCGCTCCCCCATCGCTCTCGAAGCTGCTCTCTCGCTCTCAGAGCTTTCCGACGCTCTCTAAGGATAAAAGATGTTTTCTTCTATTCTTACAATAGCAGCACTGCCACCTAGCAACAAATTAACAAGACCATCTCGCGTCGAGCAGGAAGTCCATTCTATATATAAATAAAGTCATATCGTCCAGATATAGAAGATACAATAATTGCCACATGCTGCTCGATACATTTTATGGAAATTAAAGCGTTTTTTGCCTATCGTGTGCGTTGTGGTGTATTCTTAGTAACACAATCAATAAATTAACCAGGGATAATAATGGCCAGTCGCATTGTCTGTTTCTGAAACATTATATTATCTAAGGATATATTATTCCTCCCCCTCTACGTGGCTATATAACTGTACTCCAGCGAGCTATCAAAAAATGATGTGGATTATATTTCAGGCATTTTATCTGCATGTTGTACTAATCCCATATGTTTTACATACCTGCCAAGTGTCCCTGTTTAGAAGGGTCAGTCCCTATGTATGATTGTATCAAGGAATTCTATCGCAATAAAACTCCCAGTATTTATTCTTTCAGCTGCAATACGCCTGTTTAGAAATCAGTCGGCGCAACTAAAAAATGTAGATCTTGGTCTAAATGAATAGGGCTATTCACTATAGTGAGAATTGTCAATAATTCAAAGTGAATTACAAATTTACGGCCGAAATAGTCGAATTGGAAACATTCTTTAAGTCAGGTATGTTTTCAGCTACTTAACCTAGAGCCAGGTATATTTCACAGGCTCTTGACAAGGTGAGCAATTAACATGTGCTATATGTTTTATACATGGCTGGTCTGTACATACTAACTTAGAGATCTCTTTCTGTCTCTGCACCAAAGTGAACAAGATTTGAGCCAGTCCTTGCTTAGCTCTTTATTTGTGAGTTGACCCCTATTTTTTCAATCACTGAATTTTTATATACTCCAACATTGGATTATTTTCTCTCTCCCCCCTCTTTTTTCCCCCTATATACGTTGAGCTCCAAGATACAATACCGCTATTACTAGGGGTAAGTATATATTATTTCAGCGCTCAGCACTTTTTGGTTTATTTTAGGTGGTTGGTTCTCTTACTAACCTTCCTTTATATTTTCCAATCTTGACAGCCTTATGTTTTCAGTTTGGCTGCTCTGGCCTTAAATGTGGTATTCACATGGAATTGTGAATTAAGTAAATTACTCTAAGTTTTTAATTCTATAAATGGTTATCAGTAGGTCATGAAGTCAAGGAAATTGTCCTGCAATATATGGTCCCTTTTTTAGATTTTTGGGAATTTGCTGAGAAATTGTGTAGTGAAGGATTTGCAGCAGGTGTAAAATACAATATTTATCAATATCTGATACTGATTGCAATATCCGATACTGATTCCAATATCCGATACTGATTGCGATATCCGATACTGATTGCCGATACTGATTGCAATATATGATACTGATTCCAATATCCGATACTGATTGCAATATCCGATACTGATTCCAATATGTGATACTGATTCCAATATCCGATACTGATTGCGATATCCAATACTGATTCCAATATCTGATACTGATTGCAATATCCGATACTGATTGCAATATCTGATACTGATTGCAATATCCGATACTGATTCCAATATCCGATACTGATTGCAATATATGATACTGATTCCGATATCCGATACCATTCCAATATGTGATACTGATTGCAATATCCGATACTGATTCCAATATCTGATACTGATTGCAATATATGATACTGATTCCAATATCCGATACTGATTGCAATATCCGATACTGATTCCGATATCCGATACTGATTCCGATATCCGATACTGATTGCAATATCCGATACTGATTGCAATATATGATACTGATTCCGATATCCGATACTGATTGCAATATATGATACTGATTCCGATATCCGATACTGATTGCAATATCTGATACTGATTCCAATATCTGATACTGATTGCAATATCTGATACTGATTCCGATATCCGATACTGATTGCAATATCTGATACTGATTGCAATATATGATACTGATTCCGATATCCGATACTGATTGCAATATCCGATACTGATTGCAATATCTGATACTGATTGCAATATATGATACTGATTCCGATATCCGATACTGATTGCAATATCCGATACTGATTGCAATATCTGATACTGATTGCAATATATGATACTGATTCCGATATCCGATACTGATT